GATAAATGTTACTATTATGGCTTGAAAAGGAGATGAAATTTTCACTGACGCACGTGTTGACAACCTGTCCGTGTGAACTTCTTGTCCAATTAGTGGGAATGTCACTTGTTTGTTTGTGTAGAGGAGAAAAGTAGGATCGATTCTCATTGGTTTAGAATGAGTGAATTAATAATAATTATAATTGTTATAATTATTTTATTATAATCATTTTTGACACTATATTTAATTTTTATGTACTTTTATAGATACGACAATATATTAATATAGGTACCTTCAATAATTCGCTGAAAAAAATTGATGAAAACAGGCGCAAGCTTGATAAAAACAAACTATACATACACACACATATATATATATTTAAATGTATAAATATATATATTTATGTGTAAATATATATATATATACACATTTTTTTCTTACTAAAAAGTTATTTTCGTGGGTATGCATGATTGAATTGCTGTACGCGATTTTTTAAATTCTTAAACGGTAAAACTAATAACAACCGGCTTTTTTATCCTTTCACACCAAGCAAGGCTACAATGTCACTGAGACGCGGGGTGGGGGAATACAGGGAGTGAAAGAGAATGAGAAGACTTTAGTCAAAAGAAGTGAGAAAAGGACAATAAAAGAACAAGGTTCATTAAGACAGAAGATGGCGATTGGTGTTGAATTTTTTTAATCATATTTAACGGAAGCAAGGCAGTAAAGCCACTAATACACAAATGATTACTGGATGTGAAAGAATTAGAAAACAGAAACATTATGAAGGAGCGAGAACAATAGATGAATAATCAGGAAGACAGTAGATAATGATTCACATTAAATTTTTAATGATTGTAGGTGTCAAAAAATCGGAAAAGAGTTCCACAGGTGAGAGGCGCCAGTAAATAAACTATTCAAATAGATGTGGCGTTTGCATCGAATTAGTTCAACAGTATAACGATGTGACCTAGTTACCAGTCTCGTAGCATGATTGAATTCATGTAGTCGAGTCAGGGGAAAAGATCTCATCAGAAGAGTTGCTATGAAAATATTTGTAGAAAGCCAGGTCACGTCGGTGAAAAAGTGACTGAAGTCGAGATACCAGGTCAGGACCAACCATATTAGTTCGTCTGTCATATTTTTTCCCCTTAGTTTTTAGACCAGGTTGCCTGGATTCTTAATATGTGACAGGCTGATTGCTCCAAGTAAAGGTGTTCGAATCTTTGGCATGGCTTTCGCCAGTTTGTGGGGAACGCTACCAATATCTGATATAATGGGGTGCATCGGAATACCTACTTTGTGGGTTTTAGCTTGACCATACAATTTTCGGAGGGTATTCGATTAGTCTATACTATAACTTGTTTTCATTACTATAACTAATTTTCTAATTGTTATGTTAAATTTCTGTAACAAAGAGAGAAACTCTGCCCCGTCCTCTGTTCCAACATCCATTCACACGAGCTCATCACTGCCTTCCCTGTCTTTCTTGCCTTCATTGTAACGTGTTAAATTAAAGTTTTCCAAGCCCACCTTTCTAATTAGGTGTCCAATAAATTACATCTATTTCTGATTCTGAGTAGAAGAGTTCTTTTTGTTGCCATTTTCTTTAAGACTTCCTCGTTGCTTGCTCACTTCATCACGACTAATTTTACTATAAAATATATTAAATGTCAGACAAAAACAATTGTCTCTGATCACGAATTAAAGCAAACTTTGCTCACACAAAGAATAAGACCATTATATGAATAACAACAGCCGTAATAATAATAACCAAATGTTTCTAAAAAAAAGAATTTACATCTGTCAAATTCTAAGGATTTGCCAATCGAAGTAGCAAAAATGTGTAAACTTAAAAATACATTTCTGCCCGTTTGTGACAGGGACGTTGGGTATAATAAAGAAGGGTACCGAAACTTATGCGAGTAAAATTCTTGGACACATCAGCATCTCAGAGCTACAAAAGATTACTTTGGGCGGAATTGCTCATCTCATCCGCAAAACCTGCTCAATCTAAATGAAACGTCCAAAATATATAGATAACTCACCTACTGTCGCACTTTTTAGTCATAGACTCTGGAGGGTAATTAGACACTTAAAATTACTCTGGCTTGTGATCTAAATTTATTGGAGGCGTTAACGTGTGCAAGTTTTGTATTGGTGAATTAAGATGGGCTAAAGTAAATATCCCATTCAGCCCCACAGATTTGCTTGTCGATTGCCTGGCCTTAACCAGTTGGACAATGTCCCCTAGGGTCCGATGTACTGTGCATACCTGTTCATGAGCGAAAGTAGTGGGGAGACGTCTTGGCTGGGTATAGAGTGAGTTTTTTTGTTTTGTTTTTTTTTAGTTTGAAAGATGAAGCATCCAAGGTAACTTGTGCGACACATTTATATACTTGCGAACACCCGCAATCGGTGACCGCCTGTGCGGAGTCAGATACCCGACCTGAAAGTGTTTCTAGCTGGGACTCACCTGAAAAGTTAGGCTCTGCTTTTATCTAGACTTGTCAGTGTTATCACACACATTTGGCTGTGAGGCATGTGTTTTGGATATTCTTATCGGACTATGCGCCACTCTGGGAACATTGGACTTTGTATATTTGTGACCCCAAGCCTGATACGCTGTCATTGAACAATAATAATAATAAAAAAATTAAATTAGATTTACAAGTAAGAGGTGAAATGCGAAATATGGAGGAGAGAAACATCAAAGAAAAACAGAAATAAGAGCCTAACTGAGCTGAAAGCCAATAGGCACCTATTATAACGAGAGCTGTCACGCTGGTATAGCTGGAAATAGTGGTTCCTGTGTGCTACAGTGGCCAAACCCGCTGGTATTAACAATGGAGAGGATTGAGGTTTCACCTGGTATTTCCGTGAAGGGATAAAAGCGTCCATACCGGCTTTGATGCAAGAAGAAACCTCAGTGGTGTAATTTTCAATTGAGGGGTTAAAGATACCAGTCCAAGGGGCGTCACAAAGAAAATTACGGAGTGAAGCCAATCAACATGCCGGTAACGGAAAGAGGTTTTATGGATAAGGGATTCCTGTTTAATAGATGCTTGGAACGAAATATCGAAAGTTACCAAAGAGTGGTCCGAGTTACCAAGACGGCAGTATTGCGAAGCTCAGTAAGATTGAGGAGAGGAGGTAAGAAATAAATTAAGTAGAGAAGCCTGTTGATTAGTTTTGCTAGGGAAATGAATAGGGAAATTCACGATTTGAGTAAGTGATTGAGCAATGGAAAAATTAATGTCTGAATATCGGCAACATCAGTACATTTAGAATGTTTCAGCTATGTGTCATTAAAGTCACCGATGACAAAGATGTTCGCAGATGGATGAAAAAAAGTGCCTTTTCTATAGTGTCAGCTATTGCGTCGAATAAACTGCTGTCCTGGGAAGAGGGAGAGCGGTAAAGAAAAAGGAGCTAAGCTAACAGAGTTTAGCAGCGAAGCACGTGAAAGAGTAATCAGCGGCTTCGAGAAACATTTCCCAGCCTATCGGAAGATTGTGCTGGATGTAAGCACCAAGATCATGCATGTGAATATTGGAATCTTTTCGGGAAAGGGGGAGATACCCCTGGAACCAAGAATTCATTGGTAGCAATGGAAGAATTCAAGTTGGTTTTACAAAGGGCAAAGATATCTGGCGACCGTTACAGGAGAAAAGATTATACACTGCAGAAGTTGGAACGTATATGGCGAATATTGGAGAAAGAAAGATTGAGAGGATAGGTGGTTTTTGTTTGCTGGTTTAGTTGTATTCCTTTTTGTTGTGATTTTCATGAGATATGTTTTGAGGAGAGAGAAAAAATGACCACCATAATTGTCATTATCTGTCGTCAATGGCAATACAAAGCAGCCAGTATATGGCTCTGAGATTAGAGCATAATGTGGCCTCAGGGTTGCCCACCACAAATACATACAGACACCTACCTATGTTCGACATGGCACTACAAATACCCCGATAATATGCGACTGTTGATCGAAGCAGCTTCTCTAAGCGCAAAAAATAGGTTCGGACCCCTAACGACCAGTCGGAAGCAGCAGACAGCAAATTGCCAACCCGTTACCCTCACAATGGAAAGTCACAGCTACTGGTTAGTCTGATCACCAAAAAGTAAAGACAGTTAAATGATTTTGTCCCTGGTAGGAGAAAGAAAGAGAACTGGTAAACCATATCCTGAACAGGAAACAAAGGATGAATATCTACTCCTGTTCAATAGACAATGGAAAAAGTGCGAATCGGACGATAGGTGAGCCTGTCTACTCATGTAAGAGTTTTTATTAAGTTATAGCTTAGTATAAGATCTAATGATTACAACCAACTAAAAAGAATTGGGAGCTAAAACTTAGTTCACTGTTATCGCAGGTACATATCGAAGACAAAGAGCAACAAGACGAAAAAGAGAGTAACTTATGTGGCATATTTATGTAAATGGATGCTAGAACAGGGAATGAGAGAAATAGGTAAAAAGACAAATATTACTCAGAGTTATAAAGGATAGTGGAAAGCCATGACCTCCCACGCCCTGAAGAAACATGGCACATTGAAGAACACCACCAAGCGTGACGTTGTTGGCGTGATTTTTTTTTTTTTTTTTTTCTCTCTCTCTCTCTCTCTCTCTCTCTCTCTCTCTCTCTCTCTCTCTCTCTCTCTCTCATAAAAAGAAGACGGCCTTTTATAAATTCGCGTCAGGTTAAATTTCTTTTGTGTGTCCGCGCACCTTATATCAGTTGATTGACTGATTGATTCGTGTTCTATGCCTTATCAACCCATTGCAGGTTATTTAAAAAATCAAAAATATTTTTGGATTGAAAGAATTTTTTGTAGGGTGGGTGGGAAGTAATAATGATAAAGTTTTACTAATTAACGCATAACTGGTTTGGGGGTGGGAGAGAAGAGGTGGATTCCCAAGGTTTTTTGCAAATAAATGAATATAACGGATCCACTTGGGATTAAAACTCGGCTCTCTGATTAACAACTCCATTACACCACCCGCACATCCAAGCTTAGAGCAACTGGCATTCCCAAACGGTCACCCATCTAGGTACTGAGCAGGCTCAATGTTGCTTAACTTCGGTGATCGTAAAGAATCCAGTGTTTTAACATGATATAGCCATATGTCTATATCATTAGGTATTTACGACGCGTACACTAGAACAAAAATTGCCCAGCGTCCGTTGCGCTAACCTCAGTAACGACTACCGATCCCCCCGCCTCTCTAGTTTAATGAGGGTGGGGCTTTTCCCCAGTCCCAGGCACTTGATAGTATTTATTTTCTTCAGTTGCACCCCTATCCGCGGACAGAGCCATAACTGAGAGATGATAAACCTTACCCGACATATGCCATCGGTAGAATAAAGCATGGGTATTTAGTAAGTTTACTGAATTGTTGCATTATTATTATTATTTCCTTTGATTTCTGTTGTATACACATATCCTTTCGGGTCCCAACCAGAGATCTAAGGACAGCAATGTCTTCATGACATTTTACACTGATCATTTTTGTAAAACACACCCCACCAAAAAACAAAGATCCAACACATTACATAGATAAAGCTCTTCGTAATGTGTGAGATGTCCTTGAGAGTACAATCTTTTGTATTTATTTAAGGCATGGGCTACCAGGAATCTCATCAATGAGTCTATCGAAATCTTTTCCAATCAATCCGAGGGCTCCAACTACAACTGGAATTATTGATGTCCTCATGTGCCACAATTTTGAGATGTCCATTTCAAGATCCATACAAGGATCTTGAAATGGAAATTTGATAGATGATAGTTTGAAAGTTGATAGTTTTCAAAAATACATTACAATCTGCAGACTGCTATGTCAATAATGAAGCACATTTTGTTCTGATCACGATGCCTGGGTGATTAGCTTTGATTGTACTTTCTGTGTGTATTGTAAAGTCCCATAAAATTGTTACAGGTCCTATATCTGCAACCTGGTATGGGTGATGTTTCTTGCAGTTTCCTTCCCGTAAAAGTTGCATACTTTCCAGTGCAGCCCACTCTTTCATAACGAGTTTTATATTCAGTTGGTGCTAACCCTGGTACAAGATGGTTAAATTTCTTATGGATATTTATGATAGAATCTACATTTGGAGTCAATACAATTTTTCATTATGTGTACTTGGTGTAGCAGAGAGAGGTATACACTTACACTCCCACATGAATTCACACACGCAAATATAACTTTTATTGACTGGAAGTGGAAATGGTGTTTATATATCAAAGTACAATTCGGGTTAAGATGTGTGTTTACTGATGAGAAACACGATCTCAGGGCAGGAGGCGATGTTTTAAATCTGGGTCACTAGTAAACAATGAGGATAGGCGAGATACTTGGTTTTGTTTAACAGTGTTTGTTTTGATCAAAAGGTTGAATCAATGTTTAGATATCCCAAAGTATAATTTTGGTGAAGCGAGAAGAACTCGTGATTGAGATAAGGTAAATAAGTGGAGAATAGGTTTACATGTCAAGGGCCGAGTGGACACCTCAACCCAAAGAGGGAGGTTGAGGGGCTGGGGACGAAGTAGTAGATTTGTAATTTCTAGTTAACAAGCATTGGTCCTGTGTAACAAGAATAAAACCTTTGATTTCAGCTTTTAACTCTGTATTATGTAACCATTGATGGGTACGAAGTTTATCTACATCAGCTTGTTTGATACGGACAGAGTATTGACCATAAGGGGCTTACCTTGCCATCGTTTCTGCATTTAGTAGATTGCATTTGCTTTTGCTTTCCTTTTAGGTTCTTTGACGCTGCACTAAGTGTACTGTAACTTATTTGCACTTCTTCACCCACTTGAAATTCCCTTTTGAATTTGTTGGCATCCTTTATTACTGAAAAATTTTCTTATTTCTTTCATGTTCTTTGATACATTTATCATTATTATTATTATTATTATTATTCCTTTGATTTCTGGTGTGTACTCATTTGTTTCCGGATCATGGTCAGAAACCTAAGGTCAGAAATGGCATCATGACATTTTCCACTGAGCAATATATCACACATATTTTACATAAAGCCCTTCGTAAGTTGTAGGCTGTACTCGTGAGAACAATTTTTTGTATTTCTTTAAGACATGGGCTACCAAGAATCCATTTAATGAGTCCATTGGAATCTTTTCCAATCAATCCGAGCGTTCCAATTGTGAAGTCTCATAAAATTGTTACAGGTCCTATCTCCATAACCGGGTCTGGGTGGTGTTCATGCCAAATTCTTTCAGTTTCCTTCCCGTATTTTCCAGTGCAGACACTCTTTCATGCCGGGTTTTATATTCAGTGGGTGCCAATACTGTGCAACCTGATACAAAATGATCAATTGTTTCTGGATATTTATCACAGAATCTGCATTTTGGGCTAACACAGTTTTTCAGTATGCGTGCTTGATAATTTCTCGTTGATCCTATGCAGCAAGAATAAAACCTTCAGTTTCATAAAACCTTCAGTTTCAGCTTTCAACCCTGCACTATGTAGCCACTGATGGTTATGGGGTTTTGTCTACGTTAGCTTGTTTAGTACGGGCAGAGTATTGGCCATGAAGCGGTTTATCTTGCCATCGTTTCTATATCTGATCGATTGCATTTGTCTTTACTTTCTTTTTTTTAAGTATTTTGCAGCTTCAGTCGGTGTATTGTACTTTAATTGTATTTCTTCAGCCATTTGAAACTTATTATTATTATTATTATTATTATTATCATTATTGTCGTTGTCAATATAAATATTAGTATAATAATTCAGATGTTTCTCTTATGGTCAACTCTATGTAGTTATGTCCAGAGTAAAGCATTCATGTGGACATAACATCATGGCAAAAAGAAAATAGATGTTTTGCTAAAAATGTTTATAAAGATATTTTAGAGATATAAAAGAACTTCTATGACAACTTTGTTCGTAGGACGGGTATTCAGCTAGTATTTTTAAGGCGGGATCAGACAATCTGCCATGGAAAAAATACTAAACACTGTCCATAGATGACAGGCTATGAAGAAATGACGATTGATCGATGGAACGGATCCGAGAATATTAATAAGACAAAACAATTGACCACTTTCGATTATGAATAATCGTCTCTTGGGAAAGCCACACAGCTGATGGCAACAATGACAACAATGATAACGACAATAATAGTGAAGCTGTCACCGATAATTCGAAGGAAGAAGAAAGTGAAAAACTCTCTCTCTCTCTTTCTCTCTCTCTCTCTATCAGTTCGTGCATCAAAGACACGGCACCTTTTGCGCACAAAAGATCTGATATTGGGATATCGCTAATTCCAGCAATGGTTCTGTTTTTAGAAATCCCCAGCACAAAAGCGCCGCTGTCAAAGATTCACAATCGATTATGCTTAGAAATCATTGTCAGAGATCAATAGCATTTAACGAACATCCATTGCAAAAGGAAGGAGCTTTTGCCGGTAAGGAAAAGATGAAAAGAGCCGAACTCTTTTTTACAATTTACATCTTGATTGCTTTCAAAGAGTAACGACGACATTAATAGAATGACAGACAAGGTCAAACGCTAAGCAACGTTTTACCAACGATCTTGGTACGTGCAGAGTTTCATACGGAATACGGTAAGTATTTAGCTATGATTTTCAAAATTCTACACCGCGTTCATTCGTGTATTTCTACAAAACTTATAAGACTCAGAAGCCAAAATTGAAGTGACGAAGATCAAATTATGAAAATATTTATGCGATGTCTAACGTTTAGTGAAGTTTTACCAACAATCTAGAGTGCATGTTGTGTACCATATGAACTCCTGAGTACCATGTTGAATACCATACGGAAAGTATTTGTCTATGATTTGTTGCAGATTTGAATCAACCCACAACAAAAAAAAAAAGGCTAGAAAAATTTTTTCAGTTGCTACACCAGTCAGTGCAATCTCTTGTGAAACTACTACACATCCCTGACTACCAGAGACTCATTCTGACCTAAGCTACCACACCCGACAAGAGTGAGTCGCGGATTAAGGATTGTGAGTGCATAAAAGCCCACTAAATTCGCAGCGCTTCGCAACTTCAATATTTAAGTCAGGTGGATACACTCCTGCTCCAACTATAGACCAACGATGCTTTCTGCCTACACTACTGCTGGAGTCATGGAAAGAACATGTTTTTTCTCGACATTTTGAGAATTTAATATGTGCACTGACCATATTCTGCGATCTTTACTAATTAGCGCAGTATAAATACTAGTGACGATCTTAGTTATCAAGATCTCCTCAAGGAACTTGAGTTATTGGACAAAGAGACTCTACAATGTTATGAAGTGGACATCCTGTTATAGCGACAGGAATTACCCAACCTTGATCGTCGACTCAGTAAGAAGGCCATTCGTGAGTCAGTATCGGAACATCTATCTGAGAGCTTTTTTTTTTTAACTGGGGACGATTAAAGGACTGACGGGGTTGAATGCTTCTTTGCCTCTGGAAACATCTACACTATCTGAACAGATTAGCACTTCAATTCCATCACAACCAGGAATGCAACTCGCTAGGCCCTCATTGAAATGTCTTGTTTCCGATGACAACGACAAAACGAATAAGTTTGCATTCAGGGACTTCCTTGCTAAATTCCAACGTCGATCATCCAAATGAAGAACGCGACTCTTATGGTTGAGGGAGCATCTGTCCGGGAGACCATTTCAACTAATCGATCACTTGGACAATGTTGATGAGAACTATTTGTTAGCCCTTGGGATATTGAAGGACGAATATTGGGATAAGGAAGCAATCAGAGAGGCCATATTGGAAAAAATTGTTTGGAGCAGCCACAAATTGCCTAGTGAGTGTGAACAACTAAAAGAGCATATCTCCTTAATTGAATACGAACCCAGGAAACAGGACTGGTATTTGGGGTATGACTTCCTTCAGGAATATTCAGGCAGAAGGTGGATTGTTGCCATATTCTATTTAGAATGCTCCCTTCAGATATACAGATGGAATTTATGAAGATAGTCAGCACACCTTATCCTCCTCTGAATTGTGTGTTCATTTCCAACTCTGTGAAGGTACGCTCGCCTACAGAACCAGGCTCCCAACGTTACAAAGTAAAGGTAGCGCATCAGAACAACAGTCAAGGATCCTCCCGATGGGTTAGGGGCAGC